GTGGAAAGAGGACAGGAAATGATGGCGGGAATGGGATTAGGGAAATTCTATGAGCTGGATTTGAATTTGTGTTGATGACAAATTATTTTTAAACTTTATTTAGCCTATATTTTTTGTGTGCAGATAGAGAGTGAGTCTGGGAGGTGGGGTTTAAAGATTCATCCATCCCTAAATTATGATAAATTGGTTTTCTCCTCTGACATACCTTTCCCCTTGAGTGTTTATATGGGTGATTGCTCATGTGTTTTTTTGGTGTTTACCTCGGGCGCATCTGTACCTGTGTGTGTGGCGGCTACAGGTGCGTGTTTGGTTTCTGTTTTGTATATTCCTGGCTGTAAATGTGTCCACTTGCGTGTGTTTGTGTTCAAATGGGGCCGTGCAGCTGGGGTTGTACTCCAGGTTTGACTTTCACCTTGTTTCCCCCGTAGCTGTTTTGAAAGTGTCGAGTGGAACGACCATGTAATCTGTACCCACACAGCCTTGAGGGCAGCAGTGATCAGCCCAGCTGTTTTCTCATTCCCTCCAGTCAAGGAAAGAGTTGAAATGTGTGTTTGAGTGAATGTGTGAGAGCGAATTATTTGTGTGTGTGGAGAGAGAGATTCGTTAGTATTCTGCTGAGGAGTCCTGCCGGTAGAGCAAATTGATTACCACACTTCACCTGTCTGAGCCTCCTGAGATCTGCAGCGAAGGCGCCCATTCTGTCTGCGCTCCCGTCGCCTCCGTAACGGAGGGCCGCTCTCATTAGCCGTCATTAAACAAAGCTTATAGTCGGGACACTGTTGTCTTACGTAGTTCTAGAAAGTGTGAAGATTGCTGCTATAGTCCTGAGGACTTTCTTGAAGTGGAGATTTCTAGCAGTTGTTAAAGGTGTTTTCTTGGAGGGGAATGGATCGTTTGTGCATTTGTGTGTGCTTTAAATTGAATCATCCGTCTAGGTGACCTTTTGAGTAAGACTGCGGTAGCATGGGAATTCATATCTGTGCTAAACACTTGTGAAGAGCTGAAGAATGAACCTGAATGCACCACAGTTGCATGCCATTCAGAACGGTATTCCAACTTGAAGTAGAAATGAAATCTGAAATTGAACTAGGACTTACATTTGAATTTTAACTAGAACTAAAGTTTGAATTTGAATAGTAGAATTAAAACAAAAATCATTCCAAAAAAACAAAATCACAATGGAAGAACACTTTATTTCCTTCCTTTCATGCCATTAGCTGTTACATTTCTTTGAATTGCAATTCTGTAAATTCCACTTCCTATCATTTGCAATTCAAATTCCAGTTTATCTTCTTGTGGGAATGGCCAATTCAATTCAAAGCTTAGAGGTGTAGCAGGATCTGTGGTGTAGTAGTAGTAGGAGCAGCGAGGAGCAGGGTAAGATCGATTTGGAACTGCCTGTGTTGTGATTAAGGAGACAGCGGGTGAGTAGATATGGAGGAGTTGGCAAGTGGAGTCAAAGTGTTTTCTGCGAGTAGCAGGAGTGTGTGCGCTCTACAGCCCCAGTGATAAGAGTGGAGAGTGAATGAGATGCTGTAATTGTACTCGGGTGGCATTTCGTTGGCAAGTTCTGCCAACATTTTTGCCAACTGGAATGATGTGCCAAGAGGAGGAACCCAGGTGCGTTGTCTTTTCATTGGTTAAGTGCACTTAATCAATTAAGAAATTTAATAGAATCTCTGTTTTGAATGTAATTTCTAGCTGTACACTGAAGTTTATAAATATGAAAGTACTGGAGTTCCTTATGAGCTGAGCAACAGAATTTAATGAGCTGTAGGAAATAGTGACCTTATGCAATTATATTGTATGAAATTTATGGCACTAAGTAATTCAGTGTAAAATTTAGACTTGAATTTTATTTATTTGATTGTATTAATGTACCATTTTATTTTATATTTTATTTTATTTGTTACATTTACAACCTCTTTTTCTAAACAGCACAATCAAAGTCTGTTTTTGTGTGTCTTTTACTTTATTTGATTTTTTCCCATTTTTACAAATCTCTTTTTTTTTTTAATATGATTTAAAAATTCTAAGGAAACAGCAAGTTTAATTTGTAGTGTTTACTAACTGGTCATGTTTCTCTTAAATAAGATCACTGTGAAAGGGCATTTTTGTTTTGTTCCTTAGCCAGTTTGTTTGTTCTAAATGACTTGGTTTTAGATGTAGCGTACTCAGTTTGCAGAGCTCCATGGGGCTGTTTATTTGCTCTATGTTTTACTTCAAAAGAGCAAAAGTTCACTGATGTGGACGTTTCAGTCGTGTTTGTTGAGGTAGCACGTCGCTCCCCTTATTTAATTTTCTCGAGCTATATTGAATTTACAAAATCTGTCCGGCGTATCTGAGTGAACACCAGCTGCCTACGATAACATGATGGAAAGCGATTCACACGGCTCCCTTTCCTTTAAAATTTCTTTAACCTTGGCTTACCTTTAACACCGGGGAAGCGTCTGCCAGTGTGGTGTCAGATATTAGTGATTCGTGCAGCAAGGACTGGGTTGTCACTTTTTATTAACACAGAGCGCTTTGCATGGACTCCAGCTGTTGCGTGCACTGAGACTAAGACGCACTTGACCTTGACTCGCGGCACAGTTCCTGCGGCTCACCCTATTTTTAATCATGCATTTTAAATGGTACAAATGGATTATGGTTCCTTATAATGGGGATCATTCATTAACCTTTTTTTTTGTTAGGGTACTTTGTGGGACAGGTTGAATTCCAATTAATTTCCTACCCCACATGCAAGGAACGCCAGATTGGCTTTGGATATCAAATCCCTGACATTTGCGTCAAGAAGTCCAGCATTCGCAGTTAAGGCCATTTTTTTTGTCCAGCTCCTCAAGGGAAATTGCCTCTCAGCCACTGATGATGGTTTGACCTTCCTGCTCATGATGTCTGGGTGAGCAAAGAAAGACGTCCTGCCATGATAAAGCTTCCTGTCTGCCACTGTTCCCTTCACCCCTGGCTAGTGAAATCACTTAAAATGCTGTTGGGTGTGAATGTTTGACATTGTCAGAGATAATGGATAATCACTTGCAGACCGCTGGAGGGAGAGAGACGGAGGGGAAAAGAGAGAGAGGGAGAGAGAAAACATTTTGTATTTCTTGTGCAAAAGGGTCATGTGTGGGAAAGGCGAATGGAGGGTATGCTGTGAGATCGCACCTTAGACCTGTATTTCCTGTCCCATGTATGCCTGCTTCTTCTCAAAATAAGGTCTTAGGAAATACAAGTCTTATTTGCTGGAATCGTTGATTTGAAGAGTCTCATGTTGTTTTGGACCCCAATTTCAGGATTGAAGCTCAGAAGAAAGAAAGTCATATATTATAAGTCTCATTAAAGTGACATGAGGGTGAGAAAATTATAACAGAATTTTCATTTTTGGCTTTACTATCCCTTAACAGTTTCCTTTTGTTTTCATGGACGAGATCTAATCTAGCATGATCCGATTGTAGCCCAGTATTGATTTGTCTTGAATGATGTGTTTACTTCATTGTTCTTATGGTCCAGTTTTTCAGCCTGTCTGTTTATCTTCTTTCTCCACCTGTCCCAAGTTTGAACTTTTATTTGTAGGGTAGCAGCACCTCCTTTGGCAGGAAATTAATCTTAATCTGCCACATAAAGATTAGCGTGAGACGTCAGATGGCCTCGTTCTAGCAGGTTGTCCTCTTTGTTGTTAAATTTAGGTCAGTGGCCCAGGCTGATCCTGTAACTGAGACTGAATTAGTTAATGAATTAGTTTTACTATTTGCCATCCTTGCAGTCGTAACCTGTTGCACCCGACCTTTGCAACTTAATGCAGTTTGCATCAAATTTAAATGTGTGTGACCTTGTGCTGATTCTCGCAGGATTTTCCTGTCATGTCATCTTGAGGATCTTAAGTTACTATGGCACATTCAGGATATTCAAGGCGTGAGCGTGCTGTTGAATTGCTGTAACAGCATCCCCAGTTCAAGGTCGAGTTTAACTCCTCGGCAAACCGCTGTAACATGTTACCCCGTTGCTGAAGGGGCAGGACATGGAGGGTAAGATGTTCTCTGGCAGCTGAGCACTGCTTTAGGGGAGCTGGAATCCTGTATTAATTAACCTTTGTGGTGGTGGCCCTGACAGTGGGAAGTCAGGAGTGTTTATGGAAGCAGTTCTGACAGAGTTCAGACCCGTCGAGCGAGCAGCCAGCGGTGCTGTCATGTTATCTGATGCCGTGGCTCTGTGGAGGAGCGGTCTGACAGGTGTGCCATGTGTGCCCCTCTACACCTGCCAGCCCTGCTGAGCCACTACTGGCCTGAGCGTGAAGGGCTGCTGACAGCCGTTTTTAAATGGGTATACACTTCTTTAATCCTGTTATGCCAGGGAGACTGTCATATCTGAGAAAGAAGAAAAACTTGTTTTACTGAATTTAACAAAAGTTTTAATGTTTTTCTGTCATAATGTAATTTGTTATTTGCACACATGTGAAAGAGAGTCGTTTTAAATGTTGCAGGTGAATTTTGTGGGTGACTTTTGTGATATAAGTGGACATTTTTAAGCACAGCAGGCAAAACGTTGTCCATCTTACTAACAAAGTTTAAGCAAATATCTATCTTTTGAGCAAACATTGTCTGTGATTTAAAACAAAAACCTTAAGATATTCATTTACTCTCCCTAATCTGTGAACTGACAACTCTCAGAAATGCTCAGCAAGTAATGGATATAAAAAGACCTTCTTTACACATGAGAACAAACATTGAGAGGTCCTGAAATGTTCTAAAGAAAAAGTTGGGTGGCAGAGCAGTTTGATTGACAGTTGCTGCAAGAATGTTCCTATAAAGTTAAGTTTCTATAAAGAGTTTGTCCAACACAAGTTTTATGTTCACTCTGAAGTTTTCTTTTTTTTTAATTAGTTCTTCTGTGATAATTGGTTTTGACAGAGACTTCAAAGAAAGTTACAGTGGTTATTTTGATGATGCTGGGATGTTGACGCCTGTCACTCATGTAGTGTTTTGTTTTCTTTTCTTGTGCTGTAGGTTCCCGTGTGGCCACGTCTGAGATCAGAAGAGCAAACAGGCAACGCTGAGCCATTGGTTCCTCCCAGAGGATCTCCCAAATATAGAGCTTATGGTTCATCAGGACAGAGAAACCTGCTCATTCCTCTGGTTGTACTTACAACATATTTTAAAGCAGTGCGGATTTACTCATAGAATGCGCAGCGATGCCAGCTGGGTTTTCGTGCTTGACATTACAAATGCCCACTGGTCCTGTATGTAAAACTCTTTGACTGAAAAGGAACAAAATCCAAAGCACGGTTGGAGTTCTCTGCTCTCATCATTTATGGCACAGATCTTACTAAGACATTTTCATTAGTTGTAAAACATCACATCAGGGCATCCTACTGTTGAACATGACTCATGGGGTGGAGTCTGGCACTGAAACTCACCAGGATTCTGCTGCTTTAACATATCTGGAAGGTTTGCTAATGCATCCGGTCACCACTGGACCTGCTGCCACTGCTACACAGAGGTCAGAACCTGTCCAAAACAATGAAGAGAATGCCAACAGGGTGACTAGGGTGTTTCAGCTCCCTAACCATGGCTCCCCCTCACAAGACAAGCGTAGCCCACCTAGTGCGGCCTCACAGCACCTTAAAAAAGCCAGGCTGCTTCGCTCAGGAGCATGGAGTGAAGATGACAGCCAGAAACAAACAGGCACTGTAGCAGAAGTGAACGGACAGAGAAAGCAGCACTACAAAGGAGGCCTGGATGGCTCTGAGCAGGGGGAGAGCACCTTGCTCGCTTCTCTGCTGCAGTCCTTCAGCTCTCGGCTGCAGAGTGTCGCCTTGTCACAGCACATTTCTCAAAGCCACAAACTGCTCGACAGGGACAGCAGTGAAAGTGCTCCTGCTGATAAGGAAACCTACCAGAGTTACGGCACAGCATCAGGCCGCCTAAAAAGCCTCATGAGGAAAAGCAAGCAACCGAACCATAACACCGTGCCTTACTGTCGGCAGAGCAACCAGAACCGAAGCTCAGATTCTCCTCATTCTTCTCAAAGCTCTGCCCAGCCCACTAGCTCTGAATCCATGTCCTGCACTGAGCGACTCAAGGCTGTTGCCAACATGGTACACACTAGGTCCAGTCCGGCCCCTTCACCCAAGCCCAGTGTCGCCTGCAGTCAGCTAGCCTTGTTGCTGTCCAGCGAGGCTCATCTACAGCAGTACTCCAGAGAGCAGGCCATAAAAGCACAATTAACCAGTAGATCAGCCAGCGAGAGGCTAGCAGCCATGGCTACTCAACAAACGCAGGATAAGAGGCCTCCCAGCATGGGGCAGCCAACAACTGCCCCAGACATGCTAAGCCCCTTAAATGTTCAAAACGGAACACTCCCCCCACCAGCAGTAAACTCCAGCAAAAAAAGCCCTTCCCTTTCCTCACCCTCCATGAGACCCCCCAAAGAGAGACGGCCCTTCGACAGACATGGTCGACCGCCACAAAACTGCAGCAGCCTGTTGCTCCTACTTCTGAACAATCACAACTCCCAGCAGCAGCTCACCAGAAATGGACACCTGGAGGATGACTATGGCATCCTCCCGAGCCAGGCCTCCTCTCTGCAGTCTGACAGCGAGTACTCCAGCCAAGATAACAGCTTGACCAAAGACAGCAGTGATGCTGTGAGCTTCTCCAGCTGTTCCCCCATCGACCTCTCCATGAAAAGCAAAGCGCTTAGCCAAAAATCCGAAGCCTGCTCTTCCTTAACCCCCTCTGTGGATAAGCTCACAGAGTCTCTCATAAACACGTGGAAGCCGGACCCTTCTGTGCCAAAGGTCCGTGAGGCCACAGATCTGGATACCAGCCCAGATGTGAAATCCCATGATAAGGTCACTCTAATGCAGTTACTGCTGGACCGCAGAAATAACGAGAAGGTAAACAAAAGTTCAGTTAATCCTAGTTTGCGGCCTGACGCAATAATCAGCAGCTTGACTGCAGGCCCACTTAAACGGATTGGCACACCTGAGGACAGCAGAACGTGGAGTCCTCTGGACCGGCAAACAGCTACCTTCAGCTCGATCTCCCCTTCATACTCCTTTCCCTCACCCCATGCCCAGTCCAGTCCCTTAGATCTGTGTAAGTCTAAAGCTCACTCAAGTGAAAAGACACTGGAACCTCCTTTCAGTGCCAGCAAGCTACTACAAAATCTGGCCCAGAGTGGTAAAAACAACTTGTCACCCTCTCCCCCTCACAAACTGACAAGCAGAAGGCAAAGCCCAGAACTTGAGCTTGACAAGCCTCAGGCACGATTGGATCAACGTGTTGTTCCACACAAGCGGAACAGAGCCTCCATGCTAGATGGAGGTTCCCCTCCTGCACTCCCAGCTCATAAATGTGAGCGATCACCCTCTGCGTCAACACAGATAGAAAACCTTCTTGAGAAACGCACGGTACTGCAGCTTCTCCTGGGAACAGCTTCCCAGAAGGAAAGAACCAGTGGGCACAGAGTCTTGGAAGAAACCTCAGGGGGACTGGAGAAACCTCAGAGGGACTCTGTCAACTGTGACAGCTCAAACGGACCTTCTCCGCAACTTAAGATCAAAACTGAGCCAGTAGAGGAGAATCTTTCATCAGATAGCTCTGATGATGGGGTGTACAATCAGAGACGATCATCACAACACTCACCTATTGCTGAAGCACGGGACACAATAAAATCTGAGCTATGTCCTACAGAAACAGCTGCTAAATTTGGACTTCTCAGCCAGCTTTTGAAACAGCAGAATGCTACCTACCATTCAAACCCACATACCAGGCTCCTCAGAAACTCTGTAAAAGAGGAGCCAGTGGATTTTCAGAGCCCCGTTCCTAAGAAAAGAAAACTGTGCATTGAGCTAGTAGAGCACCTAAGTAATGAACTCTGTCAGCCATCTCAAGATACCACTAGTGACAATCTGGTGTCTGGAACACCTAAATTTAATGGTAGAGGGCTGGCAAAACCAAAAGAAGAAGAGTTAGTAGGAAGTCCTAGGAGCAAAACCCCTCTCTCCAGAGAAAGCCAAGGCTTCAATGTTCTTAAGCAACTCCTCCTGTCAGAAAACTGTCTGAAAGAGCTATCCGAACCCAGAGGGACCCCAAGTCCCTTCATCCCTCAGGCAAACTGTGCAGCCAATGGGAACTTAACCCAGTCTTGTTTCCCTCAGGAGTTGTCGTACTTACCGTGGTACCCCTATTCTCTCAATACAAATCCCAAAACACCTGCACCTGTTGATACCACTGGGGGGTCGCTAGTTTGGGCTAAGGGCTCTCCTAAAGCCAGTCCTAAACCTGTTAAAAAAGAACCTGAGGGGTCTCGTGGAGAAACTTTTATCAGGGAGGAGAGATCCAGTCCAGACTCACCCCCTTTAACCAGGTCTAATCCGATTCTTTACTACATGCTTCAGCGGGGGAACGGTCAGCTCAGACCTGAGATCCCGGATCAGGTGCAGCCGGCCCACTGCGTCATGGGTGCAAAAGTGGAGTCGTGTATTGACTGTGAGCACAGAATAAACTCTACAGTCCACAGACAGACTCACAGCTAGAGAGAAGAGAGCCTAAACGGCTCTATGGAAAAATGGTAGATATGAACTGCCAAAGACTGAGAGAAGCTGAAGAACTGTGTGTATGTTCATTTGTCTATAATATCGTTTTTTTTAATTTTAATTTAAAAACAGAAACTGAATAAATGTAACCATGGGACATGGTAATTCAGTTTAAAACATTTGGCTTTTTGCCACTGCTTTAAATGATTAAATTTGTCCATTTGTTTGATTTGTTATTTTTACTGATGTCATAAAGTGATGCTCCATGATATAATTATTTTGTATACACATATTGGAATGTTTTTTTTTTTGTATGTATGCTAAGCTAACTGCTTTGTCCAGCACAATGTAAAATGTCCACCATGAAAAGCTTTTCCTTTTTCCACAACTGAAACATTTATGAAGAACATCCTATTATGTGTATTATTGATGAATCCAGAAATGTTACTGCTAATTTCACAATATATTTATCTACAGCCAAATCAGGACCCTTTTCATTTTATTGAGGCAAAGAAAATTGTACATTCTAAGCACAATATTGGATTAGTGGCATTGAAATGTCCAGTTATAAAGTATATTTTCTTACAGCAGAATTTAAAGGAATGTCAGTGTAATCTATCAGGTATCTTTCTTGTAAAGCTAGCTGAGGTCAAGAGGGTTTTCACATGTGATCGCAAGGCAGCAACATTTACTGGAATGTTCTATAATCGTAGCGTAGTCAGATTTACAGTGCTTTATTTTTCATCAGGAATGAAACTATAGCTGTTATGTGGTGATAATGGCATGACGTTTAAAGGGGTCATAGGATTCTACATGCACTTTTACAAGTTGTTTGAACTGAAATGTGTTTTGGCAGTGTGTGTACACAACCACTGCGTCTGTTCGCGCGAATCATTCATGATCCAGCCTCAAATGAATCCTTGCAAATCGCCTTTCTTAATAATGTGCTAATTAGCAAGTTTCATGATGAATGCGGCTGAAGTAAACGGTCTCTCTGAGAGCAGCTCAGAAGAGAGGGGCGGGGTCAGCATAGCTCATTAACATTTAAACCCTTTAAAAAAACCTGAGTGTCATATTTTTAGCCAATGAAATTTATCTTTTTACAATTTCTATAATTTGTTGTTTTGTATCTTATCTAAAAATCCTATATGTAGCATTTACGGTGTTGACAAGAATTTGAATATTGAAAGAATATTGAAAGAGATGATGCAGTTTGTCCACCAAAGCCATGAGGGGTAATTATGATATTTATGGATACTGTTTGAATCAGACACTCTACTGAGAGAAGGGATTGGAATTCAGTCTGATTCTTTTGTTTTTTATGTTCACTTTATTTGCATCTTTTCAGGTTTTTTTTTTTTTTTCCAGATAAAGGCCCATCACTCGAGTCTTAAACATTATCCAAAAAAATAAATAAATTACAGATTTTATTCCACGTTCTCTGTACGATTCATATGTTTTTACAATGATTAGACACATTTATGTAAATATTGTTATCAAGATAACTAGTTTGTATTGTTCAAGACAAAAAAAAAAGTTTTTAACGTCTTGCATTGTACATAAGAAAACTGTAATAATGTAAATATGGGTACTGGAGGACGACACTTTTCTGCATGTCTATGTTGTGCTAACGATAATCTTTGTTCACATCTACTGCTCTGTCCGAGGCTCTTTGCTGCCTGTAGCATGCACACGCATGGGAAGTCCCTGTGTTATGGGGAAATGTCAAGTGTTAAAATAGATGTTTTTATCATGGCGAGATGGGTACTTAAACCATAATCGTCTGCAAATGCAGTCCTTGACTGTTCAAACCTGCGGAAATATGTGCATATTTTTTCCTGAATGGTTTTGTTTGTTCTCGGTTAAAAAAAAAAAAAAACTAAAAACAACATTGCTTTGTTTAATTTAGAGACACTCTGCAATGTTGTGGCTTTGCATTGTGAATAACTAAAAAACTTGTTCTCATATACTCTGTGATGACTGGAGACTTTTGGTTTTCTTAAAATTCTGTCTTTGGTGTTTATTTGCACTGATAGTGTAATAAAATATTGAAATGCACAGAACTGAATGAAGGTTTGTCATCTTTTGCCTATATTTACATATGCAAGGTTACAGCGATTTTTAATAAATAACCTTACAATGAGGCCAGAGGTAAAATTTTAACCCTTGACAGTTGTCGGTTTTACAGATGAACATGAGTGAACCAGTCGAAAACAAGCTTTCAAGATAGTTTTTTTAACTGCTCAGATGTACACAGAGCATCTCCAGGCAACTAAGTGTGAGAATCAGGTTAACCAACAACACTTAACATTTGAACCACCAGCATTCATCGTGACAATCACAATCATCAAGTGAGCGCAATATATAAAAAGACTTTCCAAACGGGTATTTGCATGACTGCCAGTTATCAACAATAGCAGGAAAGAGATGGTAAGGAGGATTTGGAAAACATTGTTTCGTAATTATGGGAAAACGGGTAGTTGGCTTCTATTTTGTAAAGTGCCTTGTCCAACCATTGTGAGAGAAATGCATTGATCTCAATTTTGCACTTCCTTTCGGCCACTTAAAACAAACGTCAGAATAAACATTTCGAGCCAAAATTGGTGCATTGCATGCATAAGGATTATTACATTTGCCCATTGTCCTATACATGCATTTGTAAAAAACAAAATCAACAATCTATCAAGCCTAGAGGCATTTATTTTAAAGAAAAATTACACAAGCATGCATTCTATGAAAAATATTTCACAGTATTAATTTGTTAGGTTTTAAATTACACAATATAAAACAATAGAACTGTATAATACATGCAAAAATGACTTGAGTTATGATATTTTGTTACCATTTTTAAGTGTGATGAAAATGTCAAACTTATTTAGGGGCCGCTGTAAAGTGATTTTACATTTCACTGCATGTTTCCACTTACAGGCTCTTTCTGAAGGAGAGGCTTTTGTCTGCCTTCTTTCCCCTTCCTTAATCCTCTAACGAGGTTTCTTTTCTTCAACTTCACATAATCTTTCCTCCATGTGAACTTCTCCATCCAGAGATGCTTATCATGCTTGAACTGCCAGTAACCCCCGGTTTCCTTTTGGCTTCAAAACAGAGGAGAGGGCAAAGGCACAAGTCACACGTCTGAGCCGGGGTCAGCGTTTAAAGCGCCCAAGCGGCCGTTTGTCTGTCTCACATCCTCTGATATCCTGTGCCGGTGGATGGGGGGTTTGGAGGTGGCCCAGAAATCTACTTACAATTTAACTACAGCCCACTACACAAAGGAAATGGTTTGGTCTTCCAGGAAGACAAAGTACTCGGGTCAGCAAGGT